GCTAGCCTTGTTGGGGTGAGATGGTATCTCATTGTAGTTTTGATTTGCATTTCTCTAATGGCTAATGATCGTGAGCATTTCCTCATGTATGTTAGCTGCCTACCTGTTCATATCCTTTGCCCATTTTTTAATTGGGTTTTTTGTCTTTTTGTTGTTGAGGTTTTGCATTATCTTGTAGATTTTAGAGATCAGACACTGATCGGATTTGTCGTAGCCAAAATTTTTTTCCCAGTCTGTAGGTTGTCTTTTGACTCTTCTGGTGAAGTCTTTTGATGAGCATAAGTGTTTGATTTTTAGACGCTCCCAGTTATCTAGTTTCTCTTCTGGTGTTTGTGCATTGTTACTTACGGTTTGTGTTCTGTTTATGCCATGTGTTAGGGCTCCTACTGTTGTCCCTAACTTTTTTTCCGTGACCTTTATCATTTTAGATTTCTATATTTAGGTCTTTGATCCATTTTGAGTTAGTTTTTGTGCATGGGGTGAGGTATGGGTCTTGTTTCTTTCGGTTTTTTGCAGTTGGATATCCAGTTATGCCAGCACCATTTGTTAAAGAGACTGTCTTTTCCCCAATTAACGGACTTTGGGCCTTTGTCAAATATCAGCTGCTCATAGGTGAATGAATTTACGTCTGGATTCTCAAATTTGTTCCATTGGTCTATGTATCTGTTGTTGTACCAGTACCAGGCTGTCTTGACTACCGTGGCAGTATAATAAGTTCTAAAATCGCGTGGCGTGAGGCCTCCCACTTTGTTGTTCTTCTTGAGTAATGCTTTACTTGTTTGGGGCCTTTTCCCTTTCCATATGAAGTTGGCAATTTGTTTCTTCATCTCCTTACAAAATGCAGGTGGAATTTGGATCAGGATTGCATTGTATCTGTAGATCACTTTGGGTAGAATTCACATTTTCACAATGTTGAGTCTTCCTATCCATGAGCATGGTATGTTTTTCTACTTACGTAGGTCTCTTGGTTTCTTGGTCTTACAGTTTTTTTTGTATAGGTCTTTTACGTCTCTGGTTAGATTTATTCCTAAGTATTTTATCTTCTTGGGGGCTATTGTAAATGGTCTTGGATTTGATGATTCCCTCTTCAAAGTTCTCTTTGTTGGTGTAGAGGAATCCAACTGATTTTTGTATGTTGATCTTGTATGCTGCTACTTTGCTGAAATCTTTTATTAGTTTTCTTGTGGATTCTTTGGGGTTTTCTGTGTATAAGATCCTATCATCTGCAAATAGAGATACTTTTACTTCTCCCTTACCAATTTGGATGCCCTTTATTTCTTTTTCTAGCCTAACTGCTCTGGCTAGGACCTCCAGCACAATGCTGAATAAGAGTGGTGATAAAGGGCATCCTTGTCTGGTTCCCATTGTCAAGCAGAATGAGAAACAGAACACCTTTTAGACACCACAACCTTATAAAGAGTCTGATGGGCTATGATGTCAGAAATCTTTTTTGGCCCAGAAATTCAAATATATCATTTGGGTGGAGAGGTTTATTTTTATTCTTGATTACATTATCAACTTGCGGGACTTCCAAATAGCCTCAGTAAAATTTGCGGCCAGCCTACATTTGGATGCAATGGGAGAGCTACTAGGGGATGCTGAAAAGTTGCAGCAGGGACAAGAAGAGGAAAGACTCAGTTTCCTCTTATCGCTGCTACCATCCCTGTATACCAGCCTTTAAAAGTACATATTATGAAGAGTGATAAGCTTTTCAATAAAGGGGAGATATGTTTCTGTAAATATTAAAACCTAGAATACAAACTTCTACTTTTAAGAAATGAATTTTATTTAAGGGAGAAAACAAGGTTAAAATATAAAAGTAGGTGATACGGAAGATTGAGAACAAGAAGAAAGAAGTTGAATGAAAAATTTTGCTTTTATAAATTATAAAAGAGTTAAAAACTCTTAAGGAAAGAATAAATGGAAGACACTTTTTAGCAAGGTAGATTATAAGGAATAGTGTTGTATGAAATGAAAACATCAGAATCCAACAAAAGTAACTTGAATCCTAGCTTCTTAGAGTGTAGAGATCCCTGTAAGAGTTGTGTGGTAGCCAGAGCCTTTTTTGTGGTCACCTTTTATTTTCTCAAATAATAGGTGGAATGGACTTGTAATTCAAATGGAAGGCGGAGCAAGTGCCTGGCCGCCTAAGTACAAACTGCTAGGCCTTACAAATTGTGTCCGACTGTCTTTCCTCCCAGGCATACTTTAGCCTCAGCCAAAAGCCAGACAAATATCAGAAGAGACGTTAGTCCATGTAGGTCCAGAAGATGGAAGTGTATGACTAAGAAGGGTGACAATTATATACTAGCAGATTTTAAACTTGCCAAAAATGAAAATGGTTCCAGAAGAGAGTAGGCTAACTTGAGAGTAGTTGATAAGCAGAAGCCCAGTGCCCTGTCTGGATCAGGGATTAGCAGAGATGGGACATTAAAGGCCTCCACTAGGCATGCTGACCTTGTGGCAGATCCTTCAAATTGATTACACTTTGTTTCTTTGTTTTTTAACCAGAGTCTTGGTTTTAGGATATTTCACAATCCAGAATGTCAGACCAGTCTGTAAAATTACATGGAAGAGTAAATCTATTTGTTGTACCAAAATAGATTGTTTCCAAGATTTCATCATTCTATCTCTGAGTTCATGAGAAGAATCATGTGACATAGGGAGAGGAATCCCAGACGTGGTTCAACTCCTGGCTGTGGAGCAGAAATGAGGGTGATTGTTGAGAAGATCAAATGAAATTGTGAAAGCCATAACTTGTAAAACAGTTTTACATTTATTACATCATTTCAGAAGTAAAAAAATGCTAAATCAGTCCTTTTGAAAGGAAGCATTTGTATTATTTTTAAACAAATTTAAATGAGATCTTAAGCGCTGACAATTGCTTTTTCTTTTTCCTGGAAAGCATTCACAGCTCTGATGGAGGGCAAAATCAATAAGCAGCTGAAAAGAGTTCTAAAGAAAATAGTAAAAGAAGCCCATGAACCCTTGGCTGTAGCTGATGCTAAACTGGGAGGGGTCATTAAGGTAAGATTGTGATTTTTTTTGATGCCTCCTAGTCAGATCTCACCGAACAGCCTAGCCTTTGCAATAAGTTGTTTATGGTTTATGTGTCTGTATTAGAAATTTCAAAGTGCAAAATAATGTTAATGTCCTCACTGAGTAAAATTTTAAAAATTTTTAAAAAATATTTCTTAAGTTCTCATACTTGATCTTTTTTCCCTAGGCTTAAATAATAATTGATTTCCAGTAGGATTAGCAGACCGAGCGTACATAAGTGATGCTTGTTTATTTTAGAAAATGCAGGTAAATAAAAAGATGATAAAATTAGCATTAAGCCTGCCACCTAGACATAACCTATTTACATAATGTATGTACTGCCAATTTTTTGTCTAGCCACATTTTTTTCTTCTTTCAATAAAAATGAGGTCATGACTTAGTTGTTGTTGAACATGTGTTTATTAGAAATTATTAGTAGAAGGTGGAGTTGCTAGAGGTGAAACATACAATGAAAGTGAAAAGATAGAAAACTGGTAGGCTCCCACTTAAAAAGCAGAACCGTCTGAGAGCTAGTTGTGGTAGGTTTGATCTTTAGTAGTTTCGGTGGTGTTACAGTGATGGTTAATTATTGTGTTCATGGACATCCTCCTGATTCATGAAGTAAGGATTATATTATGTTTAGGTCTCTTAAGGTTAAAAAGAAGTGTTCAATTCGAGATCTTTTTTTTTTTTTTTAAAGTAGAATGGTTGAGAAGTTTATTGGAATAGGTTATTACTTCTGGTACTGCCAGATACTCTGCCAGTATCAGTCTCTACATTTCACAAGTCTTAGTTCATATTCTTCTGTTAAACTTAAATTTTAACATGTTATGAATTGAGCAAATATTTTCAGCATCCTAGGAACTGAAGCATCATTTCACTTTGTGTTCTAAATTGAGCCATGCATATACATTATGCTCCAGAGAATGAAAACCTGTGAGAATGTGTAATAACAGTACTGCTTGAGTGGGTGTGTGCACACATGGTATACACATACACAGAAGGGCATATTGCTGAATGGTGGGATTACAAATGCTTAAAATTTTTCCTTTTCAGTTTGTCTATTTAAACTTTTTTTTTCTACAGTGAACAGCTGTTATCACTTGTATAACATATTAGATATTTTGTTCTTAAACATGATGCAATATACACAAAAGTACACAGAATAGAATTTATTATCCCATATGTGTGGAGTGTATAAAAATTTTAAACTATTTTTAGGTGTGTGTGTGTGTACACCCATATACACTAACACATGTATATATTTGGAAGTATTTATGGGATGTTAATAGTTATTTATTTGTCCAAAAAGGACCTAAGGCTTGGAACTTGGACTTTTCGTTCAGTACCCTTTATAGTACTATGGATTAGAACCTTGTGTATTTATTACTTGTATAATCTTAAAAAGAAGTTAACATGAAGTAGTGAAAGATCCCCTCAAACTATCAAAAAAGAACAAGACTGCTAGGTCAAATTGTATTTGTGTTTTTGCAGCTTTTGATTCGTATAGCCAGGCTACCTTCAGGAATCTTGCACCAATACTGACTTCCAACAATATATTCAAGTGTTCTTCACACAAACAAAAACTATGCTTTTTATCAAACTGAAAAAAAATGCATGCTTAAATCAGTGCTGTTTTAACATTTAAGAAATAATTTGAAGAAAGTTTTCTTTTTATTTAATACAAATGTTCTTGTTTTTATAGGAGAAGCTGAATCTCAGTTGTATCCATAGTCCCGTTGTTAATGAACTTATGAGAGGAATCCGTTCACAGATGGATGGATTAATCCCTGGGGTAGAACCACGTGAAATGGCAGCTATGTGTCTTGGACTAGCCCACAGGTAAAATTAGCTTGTTTAATAAACACAACATGGTTCTAAATATACTAATATAGTTCCCATAACAACCTTATGAGGAAGTGGCAGTATTATCCTCATTTTATAGATGAGGAACTGATGCCCAAAGTCAATACAGTAGTGAGTGGTAAAGCCAGAATTTGAACCCAGACATTTTGACTCCATTGCTTGGGATCTAAACCTTTTCATAGTAGTTTTCTGTTCCTCTGGTGTTGAGCCCCAACACTGGTCTTTGTCTTACCTCTCTTTTTCGTTTCTCTTTTCTCTGTTCAGAAATCCATTCACTTGTCATCTCCCCAAATTTTCTCATTTGTTACAGTCTCTTTGTTTTATGTGTGTATTGATTCTTTTACTGTGGTTTTTAATGAGTTTTTAGAATGAAGCAAAGAAAAGTACATTAACCCACAGTGTTTAACCAAAGGTCTCCTAGAACAGGCATTCCTGCTGTATATACTGTGGCGTATGTGTTCCCAAAAAGCTTGGCAATCTGTGAAATTGTGAGCTAAAAATAATGGGATTTGTGAGGAAAAAATAGGATTAAGGGTAGCCTCCTCGAAACTTATGCAACTTTTTAACCAGAGCACTATCAAGAACAATCTTAGTTTAAAAATATTATCACAGTTAAAAAGACATGTTAAATTTATATTAAAGAAATAACTATAGTAAACAGGTCTGTGCCTTTAACAAAAAAACGGTAAGCATAGGTTAATGAAAGGGTTGAATGAAGCTGCTGAGGTATAGAGACGAGCAAATTGCACAATAATCGAGAAGAACTTCGTAATAAGCATTTTTAAGAGAAAAAAGTAGCTAAATTGAGTCAAGGTCTGAACATGAGGTTAATGGACATTTGTGTACACTAGTGATTCTCTGTTAAGGGTGATTTTTGTCCTCTAGGGGATATTTGGTAGTGTCTAGAGACATTTTGGAAACCCTGGTGGCATAGTGGTTAAGAATTTGGCTTCTAACCAAAAGGTCGGCAGCTCAAATCCACCAGGCGCTCCTAGGAAACCCTATGGGGCGGTTCTACTCTGTCCTCTAGGGTTGCTACGAGCCAGAATCTATTCAACGGCAATGGGTTTGATTTTGCATTCCAGACATTTTTGGTTGTCACAGAGGAGCATGATACTCATAATTAATGGGTAGACGTCAGGGATGCTGCTGAACATCCTACAGTGCACAGGACAACAAAGAATTATATGACCCAAAATGTCAGTAGTGCTGAGGTTAAGAAACTTATATACAGTATTGTTTCTCCATGACCATCTATTTTCAGATGTTAGAGTACTGTGCTCTTTCTTACCTGGTAGCATAAGGCATTAATGTGCTGAGTTTTGTACACCAGCATCTCCATGGCCATCTATTTTCAGGTGTTTGAGTACTGTGCTCTTTCTTACCTGGTAGTATAAGGCATTAATGTGCTGCATTTTGTACTACACCAACAACATTATCCTGTTTATTATAAATTAATTCATGTTACAGATGTATTTTGTAATAGAGATGTTTCGATTTTTTTTTTAATCTGTACTTTTTGATCTTGCATAATGTGTTCCTGTTCAACTGATTTTCTTAGAAAAAATAAAACTATTTCTGAAAGGGATTTGAGTAAAATATATATATATGTATATTTTGTCTTTTAAAGATATTAATTTAACTGCTTTTCCTAGATATTATTTTACTGATTTATTTCCCCCCTTCTCCCCAGCCTTTCTAGATACAGATTGAAATTTAGTGCTGATAAAGTGGATACAATGATTGTTCAGGCAATTTGTAAGTATAGTACTTATGAAGCCTAATCTATTTTTATATTCCTCATGGTTTTTTCCTACTATTGAAGTTTAATTTTTATGGTTCTGTCTGTTAAAATAAGAGAAGGGAGATCAGCTAGAACTTTTAGTAAGTAAAGTAGATAAATGGGAAAATGCAGGAAAAGGAAAATTTATTTGACTATTTGGAGACAGGCACACTGTTACTAACATTATGTAAACAGATTCCTTTGTCCTTTTCTATGAAACAGTAAAGCCATAAGTGGAATTTGTGTGGTTTTGTATTCTGCTTTTTGTTCACATGGTTTCATAATAGGTTATTCTCCCATGTTGTTAAACTGTTTTTGGAAATTTCAAAGTCTTTAGTAATTTCCAATTTAAGAAATGCCCTTAACTACTACTTTTGTTTTTGTTTGTTTGTTTTAATTTACTGCAGCCTTGTTAGATGACTTGGATAAAGAACTAAACAATTACATTATGCGGTGTAGAGAATGGTATGGCTGGCATTTCCCTGAATTAGGAAAAATTATTTCAGATAATTTGACATACTGCAAATGTTTGCAGAAAGTTGGTGAGTAACTTGTTTGTCCTTTAAGGCATTGACAATAACTACTTGCATCCTAAAACATGGGTTATAGTACTTTATCACGTGTTCCTAAATACCATAAGTTGATGAATTCTACTTGACTTGTGCTAACCTGCTACAGCAAAATTTGGAGGAAGAAGAGTCAGGAGTCTATTTTTAACAAGCTCCCAGGGTTTTTATGATTTATATATAAGTTTGGGAAGTGTTGCTGTTAATGTCTATTGGATTTCAGAAACAAAATTAACTTTGGTGTGGCCTATGGTGCAATAGAGAATGAAATGTGGTTTTCTAGTTTGGTTTTTCTTAAAATAGCTTGTTATGGTGAATACGTCTCAGTGAAATTTGCCATTAATAGGGGCAACTGCAGATCTGAGGAGAAATCTTATAATAGTAATATCTAATAGAAGGGTAGTTTTGCTATCTGTACTGTTATATTCTATACTAAGAGTACAGTAATACTATTAGTAGAGGAACCTGAGGATTGTTAAAAAGTATGGATTACTTGACTCTTACTAGTATTGTTACCGTAGTAAGTACTTCAGGAATGCCTGGTCCCAGCTTGTTTACTTCAGTATAGCCTTAACTGCAGATTACTTTTGCGAATACCTTTAGTCCTATCGTACTTTTTAACAGCTTTTGAGATAAGTTTTCATGGAGAATCTTGTTAGGGTTTTACTCTAACTAGAATCTGATTTTTGGAGGGAGGTGGGAGATGTTTATCTCTAACACCAAGCCTCTACATAAGGAAACCTCCTAGGTCAACCTTGTTCACTTTTTGTTTTGTTTAGGCATCCTTTTCATTGGCTTATCTCTACTTTTTCTTTTGACTAATTTGATGGATTTTATATAATTTGTTGAAGAGTGATTCTCCTTCATCCTCTGCAAACATTCCATAGGCGATAGGAAGAACTATGCCTCTGCCACACTTTCTGAGTTACTGCCAGAAGAAGTTGAAGCAGAAGTGAAAGCAGCTGCAGAGATATCTATGGGAACAGAGGTTTCAGAAGAAGATATTTGCAACATTCTGCATCTTTGCACCCAGGTAGATTGATAACAAAGAAAACATAGTTGTGCTATGTAATACTAACTTTCTGATGGCAATGATGATTTATCTTAATTGTTCACCTGAAATACAAATGTGAGGGTGTACAGTCACTACCTCATCTGAGGCCATCTTGATTTTTATATTTGGAGGGGGTAAATATATATTAAAACGAAGTTAGGAGAGTATTATCTAAATAATTATTTGTGTTGATAGCATTGTCTGATTAATGAATTACCAAAGTTCTATTCAGGCAGAAAGATGTTGCTTGTGTTATTTAATTCAGAGTTTTATAATGTTTTTAGCCTATAGTGAATTTTTTCTCTAGTTTGGGGACAGGTATACCACAGTCACAGAGAGGATAACACAAACGTCCAGCTCTTGGAGTTTTTAAAAAATACAGTAATATTGACTAACGTTTTTTAGGCAGTATACTAAGTAGTTTACATATCTTACCTATTATCAGTGGTTTCATACATTATCTAATCCTCACAATAGCCCTGTGAGGGTATGTACTTACCTTCATTTTATAGGAAGCTGAGATTTGGACTGGTTAATTTACCAAGGGCCACACAGCTACTCAGTGATAATTTAGGACAAATGTGAATTTTATGTAATTTTTTTTTTACCTACTGAAATATTTATGGCTCACTCATTTTGTTCCTCATACTAGGTGATTGAAATCTCAGAATATAGAACCCAGCTCTATGAATATCTACAAAATCGAATGATGGCCATCGCACCCAATGTTACAGTCATGGTTGGGGAATTAGTTGGAGCACGACTTATTGCTCATGCAGGTAATGGTTTTAATGTAATTAGTAAATTTGGGTCTTCAGAATGCTGGTGTTTTCTGGCTAGGATTTCCTTTTTTTTTAATCCTTAAACATCGTTTATTAGAGAAATATAATTAGGTAATAGAAAGAGGAGGATGGTATATGGATGAGGACTCAGGGCCAAGTGTTCGATGATGGTTTTTATTTGTTTGCCAGACTTCCTTTTGGATAATGAAGGCATCTTTAGTCACTACCTCTTCTGAGACACTTATGGTCCAGTGTCAGACATTTGTTATGGTTAATTAGAATATTCAGATGAATGCAAGAGGATGAAATCTGTTAGCATTTCATCAGATTAAGATTTGAATACGGTTTTAAGAAATCACAATAGGTGATGTATACCCTTGAATGGGAGTCTGTTTCCCTATTGAATATGCTATTTTAATATATTAGACTTTCAAAAATATTTTTAATAACTGATTTATAATCAAACTTAATGCACGTGTATGGTGATATTGTAAATATGGTATGCTACAATAAAATACTATTTAATTGAATACCTGTAAATACAGTCAAATACTAATGTTTTTATGTTACTTAGAGACATTGTTGGTATACATCACAGAAGATTTTATGTATCTATTTCTAGGTATATCTTCCTCATTCATATCTTGAAATAACAGGGCAAATAAAATATGGGTATATTATCCCACAGCTCTTCTAATGCTGAGATGCCCTAATAAGTTTCTGTTAATATGTATATTTCTTCTTACCTAAGCAGCAGGGTATTTGATGTTGAAAATAAATATCAGAAAATGGGGACTAGGTTACTATGTGAAAACGTATGTTTATATACTTACACAACTCCTATGATAATGCTAATGGAATTAGAATAGTAATAACATGTCTCAGGCAAGTAAGTAAAATTGAACTAATAAACTTAACCTTCCAGTTTGTCATAGAAATTCATCTCAACCATCTGCCCATGCTAAGGAAAGAAGCACAAATGCTGAAACATCAAGGTTTTTAATAAATTCTGGACTACAGAATCCTGTATTACCTCAGATTTTTATTTACTGTGGTGACTGCAGTACTTTTGTTTAATACATAGAACTTTTAAATACTTGAAAGTGCATTAACTACTTGATTTCTTTTTAGGCTCTCTTTTGAATTTGGCCAAGCATGCAGCTTCTACTGTTCAGATTCTTGGAGCAGAAAAGGCGCTCTTCAGGGCCCTCAAGTCTAGGCGGGATACTCCTAAGTATGGTCTCATTTATCATGCTTCACTTGTAGGCCAGACAAGTCCTAAACACAAAGGAAAGGTGAGTTACAGTTTTTTCCTGAGGTAGGGCTTTTTTCCTAACCGACCCATTTTCCTCCTGTAGTATATAATAAATCTTTTGTCTCTTTTCCATTAAATGGCGAATGATGAGTTGTTGTTTTTTTAATGTTTTAGATGAAAGTTTACACAGCAAATTAGTTTTCCATTTTCCATTCAACAAATTGTACACAAAGTGTTCCATGACATTGGTTGCAAATCCCCACACTATGTCAGCACTCTCCGCATTTCTGCCTTGGGTTGCCCTGTTTCCTTTCGTCCGGTTTTCTTATCCCTTCTTGCCTTCTTATCTTTATTTTTGGGCAAATGTTACCCTCTTGATCTCCTATAATTGTTTGTTCTATGGAGCACATTCTTTTCAGGTGTCACTGTATATTTTATAGGCATGTCTATTGCTTAGTGGTTTCTGGGAATGGTTGCAGTTCCAAATCAGAAGGTAAGTGTCTTAGGCGATAGTCTCGAGTGTTCCTCCAGTCTCTATCAGGCTAGTTAGTTAGTCTGGTCTTTTTTTTTTTAATGAATTTGATTTTTTGTTCCACATGTTTCTCCCCCTCTGTCTGGGACAGTTGGTAGTGGTAGCTGGACACTATCTAGTTCTTCTGGTCATGGGGTCATTTAGGCTGTGTTGCATGTGGTCCATTAGTCCTTTGGAGTAACTACTCCCTGGAGTATTTGGTTTTCTTCACTCTCCTTTACTCTGGACGGGAAGAGACTCCCGGTTATATCTTAGATAGCTACTTGCAAGCTTTTAAGACCCCAGACACTACTCATAAAAGTAGGATGTAGAACATTGTTTTTAAGCGTTGTGTTATGCCAGTTGACATACATGTCCCCCGAGTCTATGATCCTTAGCCTTTAAGCTTAGTATCTTTGTCCCAGGAGGTATTTGGTTGTGCGTAAGAAGTTTGCATGACTGTGTCCCTTGTGTGTTCTATTGTCTATATTAATATGCATGCAACATCCACAAATACATAATGTAGAGTAATCCACAGCCTAACCTATATCTACAATTGAGTGCGCTCCCTTACACCTTCCATCACCTCTGTACCAAACCTAGCTACTTACGTATCCCTTCGTAATTTATTGTTTGTTAATAACTGTTGCAGGATTGTCTGTGTTATAGTAATTGCTGTAGTTGCCCTTTGTTCTTGTGTTCCTTTCAGTGTCTTCCTTTGCCTTTGTCAAGTTGTGCTGACTTCTCGCATATAGTGTATTGCTTTCCCTTTACCAATATTGCCATGTGTCTTCTGTCTATTTAGTAACTTACCCTCTCTCCCTTCCCTGGTAACCGTCAAAGAATGTTGTTTTCTGTATGTAAACCTTTACTTGTTTTATAATAGTAGTCTCATACAATATTTGTTCTTTTGTGATTGGCTTATTTCACTCAGCATAATGTCGTCTAAATTCATCCACGTTGTAAGATGTTTTGTGGATTCATCATTGTTTATCATTGAGTTGTATTCCGTTGTATGTGCCATATTTTGTTTATCCATTTGTCCTTTGATGGGCATTAGGTTGTTTCCATCTTTTTGCCATTGTGAATAACGCTGCAATGAGCGTGTATTTGTTCGTGTTACTGCTCTTATTTCTCTACGTTATATAACTAGGAGTGAGATTTCTGGATCATACGGTATTTCTATTTCTAGCTTTTTAAGGAAACGCCATACTGTTTTCCATAGTGGTTGTACCATTTTATGTTTCCACCAGCAGAGTATAAGACATCCAGTCTCCCCACAACCTCACCAGCATTTGTTGTTCTCTGTTTGTTTGTTTGATTAGTGCCATCGATGTTGGAGTGTGAGATAGTATCTCATGGTAGTTTTAATTTTTATCTCTCTAATGGCTAATGATCGCAAGCATTTCTTCATGTGTTTGTTAGCTGAATGTCTTCTTTGGAGAATTGTCTGTTACGTCTTTTGCCCATTTTTCAATTGGATTGTTTGTCTTTTTATTGTTGAGGTATCGAAATTTTCTATATATTTTAGAGATTAACCCCTTGTCGGATATATCATAGCCAAAAATTTTTACCAGTCTGTAGGTTCTCTTTTCACTCTTTTGGAGAAGTCTTTTGATGAGCATAAGTGTTTAATTTTTAGGAGTTCCCATTCATCTAGTTTATCTTCTGCTATTTGTGCTTTTTTGGTTACGGTTGGTATACTACTTATGCCATGTATTAGGGCCCCTAGGGTTGTGCCTGTTTTTCTTCCATGATCTTTATATTTCAGTCTCTGATTCATTTTGAGTTAGTTTTTGTGTAAGATACACATCCTGTTTCATTTTTCTACGGTTAGATAGTTTTGCCGGGACTGTTTGTTAAAGACACTTCCCCATTTAATGGACTTTGGCCCTTTGTCAGAGATCAGTTGTCCATAGGTAGATGAATTTACTTCTGAGTTCTCAGTTCTTTTCCATTGGTCTATGTGTCAGTCATTGTACCCGTACTAGACTGTTTTTACTACTGTGGCTGTGTAGTAGATTCTGAGATCAGGAAATGCAAGGCCTCCTTTGTTCTTCAGTAATGCTTCACTTATCCATGGCCTCTTTCCTTTCCATATGAAGTTTGTGATTAGTTTTCTCATCTCGTTAAAGAATGCTGTTGGAATTTGGATTGGGATTGTATTGTATCTGTAGATCGTTTTGGGTAATATTGACATTTTCAAAATGTTAACTCTTTTATCCATGAACACAGTATGTTTTTCCATTTATGTTTTTTTTGTTGTTGTTTGTTTGATGAATTCTTTAAATAAAAAGCACTTTTGTACACTGAAAGAAAAGGTTGGAAGAAATTATTATTGGTCCTATTAAAAAGCTATTTTCTTTTGCTTCCTTAAAGTTACTATAAATTCTGAGATACAGGCTTGTAGAAGGAGAGTAATCATGTAGCATTAAAAGCTACATAATCTGAAAATCATCTGTAATTTATCTTTGAATTTTTTTTTTAGAACTCCCATACAGGCCAGTGTTAGTATTTGCTTGCATTCCTTCCTTCCCACTCCACAGTTGGTGAGAGATAGTGGGTGGCACATCAAAAGCATTGTTTGACAAAAAAAACAATTTAACAGCAACATTTGATAAATTATGACGAGTAATAGCACAAGCACTGTGTGAAATACTTGGCATAAATCATTTGCATGAACCCTTTCAATAGTCCTATGAGACCTAGGTGTCTGTTTTACAGATGAGGAAATTGGTGCTTAGACAAACTAAGAACTTTCAGTCTTTTTAGAGGGCACGGGTTAATGGAATTAAACTGAAATTTTTCAAATTTCAGAGCAGAGATGGAGAAATTGGAGGTCAATAACAAAATGTTGATTAGCTTAAAAAGGGACCCACATATATTTGAAAGACTTGTAAGAAGAGGTCAGCACTAGTTCTGGATAACTTCAAGTGGTAGAACTAACATCACTGATTATAAACTACAGAAAGACATTGAAAGAATAGTTTGCGCTAGTTTTAGGCGTGAATTACTACAAAGTCTTTCACCAGAGTGATGGAGGCAATATATAACCAGTTGGCCATTATTGTGGCAAAGATTCAAATATAAGATGAGTGACTGAAATATAAATCATCATACTTTCATTTTCCTGTTTTTTTTTTATCTTAGATTGAATGGTAGTGTGATGATTTGCTGTAATTTTCTCATAAGTAATAGAGAGGATTTTTACATCTCAAATTGGAACATACCCACTCCTCACTTACTGACACTGTTAGATTCCAAAGATCAGGTCATCATGCAAAAGTCAGCATTATGTGAAAATGGAGGTTTTCTTCCCCCCCAGACCATCCATTTGTCTAATTTTTTTTTTAATTTAGAAAATATCATAGAAATAATAATAGCTAAGATTTACTGATGTGCTCGTACTGTGACACATCCAGTTATAGATTATTCCTCTGTGGAGAAGGAGGCTTAGAGAAAACAAAGCTGGATAAAGCTGGGCTGTGTGACTGGAGGGCCCGCAGCATAACTGCCTCACCTTCCTCCTGTGCCGAGTCAGAGCTTGCCTAGTAGAGCTGCCTCCAGGGCTCCACTCCCACCGCTACAAGCCTCTCTCCTCCTCCTCCTCCCCCGCATGGCTTCCTGCAGCAGCGCTGGGAGCTTGGCTGAGCATCTGCCCCATTGAGGCAGAGGCTTGAGGCCTAGTTCAGCTCACTTTGGGATGTCATTAAACTCACACATGTTTTCCAAGCATTTCTTCCAGACACCAGCTGGCTCAGTGCTCCTGCGTGTCCACCTGGAGGTTGTGGCCACGGAGGAGCTGGCCAGAGACCCTCCTCAAGGAAGGGGACGCTCTGCAGCTATTGCTGCCGTTCCTACCACCTCGTTAATAATGCACAAGATAATCGGATAGTAGATTTTTTACTATTGTAAGTGTGAATTGTCGGATAAAGAGATAGTTGATGTGAGGAGTAGGTGTACTTTGAATGCCTTTAACTTCATGTTCTCTATTAGATTTCTCGAATGCTGGCAGCCAAAACTGTTTTGGCTATCCGTTATGATGCTTTTGGTGAGGATTCCAGTTCTGCGATGGGAGTTGAGAACAGAGCCAAATTAGAGGCCAGGTTGAGGACCTTGGAAGATAGAGGGGTAAGAACCATATCCTGCCAGCAGTAGTTTTTAAAAATTACTTTAGAAGTGTTATCTATCACAGGTTAATAAACTGTGGGTTGTTTTATGTACTTATTACTCACTTCGGCTGCTACTATAAACAAGTATATGTTGCATGTTTTAGTATGTTTAATATATTTCTGTGCCTGCTGATGATAATTTGTGTATTTACAAAGAGTTGATAACATTGAACGTGTTTGCCATTAGGATATGCTGTTCAAAGTAAATGAAAAGAAAATTTTCAGGTATTGTTTCCTGTAGGCCCAGTGATTAGCTAGACTATATTATAAAGATATTATGGCTTAGAATTTTACTAGTAATTTTTCTTTTTCTTGTCAGATAAGAAAGATAAGTGGAACAGGAAAGGCATTAGCAAAAGCAGAAAAATATGAACATAAAAGGTGAGTAGCATTTGGGGGAAGATGGATAAACTGTTTCTGCTTATTTGAGTGTTAATTATTGTTAGTAGTTTTTATTATAAGCTTAAGTGCTGCACCATCCCTCTAATTTCTCTTTGTCATTTACAGTTTTCCGTAATCACTTCTAGCTTTTAATCATCATATACTCATATATTTGCATTATTGTAATAAGTACACATAGTATACTGTGTTTGCCTCTTTTTCCCCTCTTAATATTTAACTTCCTCATTTCCAGATATTGATAGTAAATGTTTTTGTCATTCAGAGTACCTATATATTATGCCATTTATTTTAAAAAAAAAAGTTTGTTCAGAGCTAATCTACAATGAAACCTATAAAAAGGAGTCAAAAGACAGAAGACAAGTCTAAAAATGATTATTAATAAGTATCATAAAGTATTCCGAACTCACTATCAAATTGACAAAAAAATTTGCATCAGAGAGGTGTTTTGGTTACTATTTGAGGTCATGTTCAGTACTGGTAAGGTTGTGATGCAATAGGATTTAGATGCTGTCGGTGTCCAAGGGGCACAATGCACAGTAACAACTCAATGGTAGGTATGTATTTATATAGACATATTTTAAATACACATATCAGAATTTTTTTATTATTATGAAAGAAAAATGTGTATAATTATGGACATTAACAATTTCTTTTACATTTTGTGAACTTTCCAACTTTTCTGCAGTAACCGTAAATTACTTCTGTAATTTTAAATCCATATAATTTGTTGTGTTTAGATGAGAGATGTGTGTCTGTTTTTTTTTAAGTGTTTTTAATCTGTAAAACTTATAGCCATGCATGCATCTATATGAGGTTAAGAAGTAGAATATTACTTAGCTTCTTTTGAACAAAAATTCATATTCCTGTGCCATTATGCCTACTACTTCATGCACTTAAAGCACCAATTATGAGAGTTCACATTTATCAAACCCACTACTGCAGAGTCAATTCAGTCTCATAGTGACCCCATAAGGACAGAGTAGAACTGCCCTGTAGGGTTTCCAAGGAATGGCTGGTGTATTCAAAGTGCTGACCTTTTGTTCAGCACCCAAGCTCGTAACCACTACACCACCAGGGCTCCAGTTCACATTTAAGGACTCAGTATTTTCATTTTTTTCTTTATACTAGAACAAAAATAAACCTTAGGCATTAGGAAATCTTTATATGTATCCCGTCTGGTTCCTCTGCCTTTTGGGATTTTGTGATGAAGACTTCTGTATAAAACTTGGTTTAGATTTTTTTTTTGTTTTTTTTTTTTTTCATTGAATTACCCAATGTTTTGAAATATGAATTTGGTTCAGTTTTTACTTTCTGGTATAGTCAGCTGATATAATGAGATTTTCTCCATTCAGTTTTCTCCTGGGCTGGTGGAATATTCTCCTATACCACAGTAACTACGTAGATTACTAAATCAGAATTCATTTAGCTTATCTCCTCTCTTAAGGAGCCCTGGTGGCACAATGGTTAAATGCTCCACTGCTAACCTAAAGGTTGGCCTTTCAAACCAACCCATTGGCTCCATGGGAGAAAGACCTGGCAATCTGCTCCTGTAAAAATTGCAGCCTAGAAAACCCTGTGGGGGCAGTTCTGCTCCGTCACATGGGGTTGCTATGAGTTGAAAATCGACTTGACGACACCTAACAACATCTCTTAAGTGTGATCGACCAACTTGAAAAAATTAATAGCTTTACATTTTAGAAACTGTTAGCCTTCATAAACTGCCCCAAAGCCAGTAAAATGAAACAGCATTTTGTGCTTTTATAAGTATAATCTAATGGCATTTTCTTTACATTTTTTTCGAGAATTGTTTCTATTACAGATATTTGTAGGTATTTTCTAAAACTCTGGCTTTTTCAGTGAAGTGAAGACATATGATCCTTCTGGTGACTCCACACTGCCAACCTGTTCTAAAAAACGCAAGATAGAACAGGTAGACAAAGACGAGGAAATTACAGAAAAGAAAGCTAAAAAAGCCAAGATTAAAATCAAAGGTTGGTTTGGATTTTTTATGTCATTTATACTCATTCTTTTAGGAACTACACATGTCTTGGATGAGTACATGCCATTGGCCTTTATTATGAAACAACCCATATTGAAAGCGAATGGTGTTTTAATAAGCCATCATGTTCTTTGGGATTAGTTAGGATAATGTTAAATTTATTAGACTTTACAGGAATGAGAGAAGCATTTCTTTCAACATGTGGAATTAAGAGACTAAATGTACCAAATTTTGCTATATTTTATAGTTCAGCTAGGATTAATGAGAGTCCTGAAATGCATTATCTGACACAGTGTTAATTGCTGTGTCTTTATACTTACTGTATTCAGTTGAAGAAGAGGAAGAAGAAGAAGAAGAAGTACTAGTGGTGGAAGAAGAGGAGAGCTCTGTGAAGAAGAAAAAGAAAAAGGATAAAAAGAAACGCATTAAAGAAGAACCAGTTTCTGAGGAAGAGCCATGCACCAGCACAGCAATTTCTGTATGTTTTTGTTTTTAATTACCAGTACTTTATTGGCATGGGCAGAGTCTCCATATTTAATCCACTTTATAATATACAGTAAATACTGCCTTGTTGTACTTATATTTATAAAAGCCATTTCCCAAACTTAGAATCTTACTACAAAATGAGTTTGAGAGATGGGAAGAATATGATTTGCTAAAGAATACTTTCATGGGGGCGGCTTTTATAGATTTAGATTTTAATAAGTCTTAAAAAGCATTTATTGTAAATCTTTACCCCTAATTTGTTTTGAAAGGAAGTAAAATAGATCTAGTTTCCTTTTTATAAGAAAAAATTATTGCTGTTACTCACTCTTACAATCACAGCTTTTTCAAAAGCATTCTTATTGGTGATTTTCAGAGTCCAGAGAAAAAGAAGAAAAAGAAAAAAAAGAGAGAGAATGAGGACTGATGGAATGGAACTCTAATTGAATCACCTGGACACATCATGCTCAAGATTCAGTCAGAAACATACCAGAGAGGCCTGCTAAAATATTGAGGGGAGGTTGAATGAAAGCCATCAATCATCTGTAGCATTTTCAGTCCTACGTTTTGTGTCTTGATGTCAACTTTGTTAACCTCATTACAGCATCACTTCTTAGTGTCTTTGATATACAAATAAAAATATTTTCTTTGTATTTTAAGGCAGTTTTGTGACCTCTTTATATTTCAGGTAGAGAATCTTTATCCTTTTCCGTATTTTATTTCGTATCTGATGATAATGGTTTTGATAATTATAGCCAAACAGTGGTTAATTTGGGAAAGGTAGTCTTTCAGAAGGCCGTGATTAGACGGACCAACTTAAGTACTTCATTCTCACGTGTTTTTCTTGCCTTTTTGGAGTGTTTTTCAAAAAGAAAAAATTGGTCCATAACTCTGTACTTATTGGTAATTTGGATAGGTGCAGTAAAATAATTATCTAGATCCTGGTTTGTTTGCAAAGTAATCTAAAGTGATTTTTTTTTAAGGTAATAAACATTTATTTTAAAGTAAAGAATGGACATTAAGGGAAAATAAAATGTCAGCATAAATTGACAAAGATAAATCCTTGTGAGTTTCAATAAATGCAGTTGGCTGATGAAGGAGGCTAGAATGACCTATAGTTTTGAGTTTTGTGGGCATTTCAGTAGTCCCTCTGAACTTTCCATTTCTTAATACTGGTTTGTAGAAATTAGGTGATCAATAAATTTTCAAAGTTTGTGAATAAGCTTCAAATTTAGAATTTTTTAAAAACTGTGTTTTAGGTAAAGGCTTACATAGCAAATTAGGTTCCCATTTAACAATTTTTAATACAACTTGTTATATTTTTCAGTGTAACATTGATTACATTTTTCACAATGTGTTAACATTCTTATTTCCATTCTTTTTGTTTTGTTTCCATTAGTTTAGCTTCCCTGTCCCTCCTTAGCTTCTTGTCTTTGTTTTAGGGTAAATGTTGACCATTTGGTCTCATAGTTGATTATTTAAGGGACCACTGTACTCTCTGGTGATACTGTTTATTTTATAAGCTAATCAATTGTTCTATGGAAACCCTGGTGGTGGTGTCGTTAAGAGCTATGGCTGCTAACCAGAAGGGCAGTTCGAATCCACCAGGTGCTCCTTGGAAACTATGGGGCAGTTCTATTCTGACCTATAGGGTTGCTATGAGTCATAATTGACTCGATGGCAACAGGTTTTGGTTTTTTTTGGGTTGTTTATAAGCTAATCTGTTGTCCTATAGGGTTGTTACGTGTTGGAATGGACTCAACAGCAATGGGTTTGGTTTTCGTTTAGTTTCAATCTATTGTTTAGATGAAAGGTGACCACCGGGAGTGGCTGCAGTTCCAAGTTGAAAGAGTATCTTAGGGCAATAGTGTCAGGGGTTCCCCTAGTCTCTACCAGTCCAGTACGTCTGGCATTTTTCAGGAATTTGAGTTTTGTTCTACATTTTTATCACTTTCTGTCCGGGACCTTCTGTTGGGTCCTATTCAGAATGATTGATGGTGGTAGCTGGGCACCATCTAGTTCTGGTCTCAGGTGAGGCTGTGGTTCGTATGGGTTATTAGTCCTGTAAACTAGTTTCTTCTTTGAGTCTTTAGTTTCCTTCATTCTGTTTTGTTCCAGAGGAGTAGAGACCCATCGTTGTATCTCAGATGGCCACTCACAAGCTGTTAAGACTCCAGACGTTATTCACCAAACTAGGATGTAGAACATTATGAACTATCTTATGCCAATTGACCGAGTTATCCTGCGAGACTATGGTCCCAAGCTTTCAAATCCAGAAATCCAATCCCGTGAAGTGTTTGGATATTTCTAGGAAGTATCTGTAACTGCTCCCTCTGTGGTTTATTAAATTTAGATATTTTGATGAAGTACATATGCTAAAATATATATAATAAAGCTGGTTATCTTGCTTCCCAGAGCACTGTCATTTTGCATCACTCAATAGTAAGTATAATAATCCTCAAACACATTCTTGATTTGGGACATAAAGGTTAGTTTTTGTTTTTAACACGTTCCATAATAGTGACCCATGAACCTACCAAGGACCGTATAGCCAAAATCTTTACTGCTTAAGATAAACATTGAGACTGCCTAGTCATTTTCAGTAGTCTTCTACAGGCCTGTGAAAAACTTGGTTGAATCACAGCTATCAGCCTTCCTTAGTGTTGAAGTCTTAAATGTTTAGAACACTAACCAAAAGGTAGGTTCAGGTTCTACTTGGTCCCAGTGAAGTGCTTATCTTTACGAAGAGCCTTGTGAATTTAACTGTGGAATGGAATGCTCGGCTTTTATATACCTAATTCTGATTAGCAAGTTTTGGTAACCAATGTCACAAAACAATATATGTATTAATTATTTAATGAGAAACTAATTTGCTCTGTAAACCTTCATCTGAAGTACAATTTAAAAAAAAAAAAAAGCCTCGTCTTCACCATACTTTTTAACACTAGCTGCTGAAAATTATCATTAACTATAAATTTGCAATGACTAGGAAGTGACTGCCCACTCCCCCATGCAGGGTTTGTTCAATGATCAACTTCCACAGTTATAAGCAGAGCCCTGCACCACCTTTAAAAGCTTGTGTAGTTCATAATTATGGTCCAGTGTCATTTACTGGAAAATATAAAGCATAAAGTAGTAATTCTAAAATGATACTTAACATAATCGAGTACTTAACTGTGTCAGGCACTGTTCAAATCACTTGTATTAACTATTTCAATCTAACAACTCTTTCTAATACTATTATTATGCCTTCTTTACTCATGAGGAAACTGATGAACAGAGAAGAAGCTTGCTCCGTGCCATTCAGATCATCGGAGATGGCCAGGATGTGGTTTGCATCCAGGCAATCTTTAAGGTTGTGCTTGATGATTCTGAAAAGTATAAGGTACTATGTTGGAACATTTTCTTAGTAGCCTGAAGGTACTTAGAATCTTATCATTTGAAAATCAAAATAGATTATTTGAGTTCAGCAACGAGCTGTGCTTGCTACCCCTGGAAAGAGGTTGGCAGTATTGTCTGGAGTGGCAGCTCATTGGAGATTTCTCACAGAACCTGGGGACCCAAAGGTTGGCATTTGCTACTCCCTCGTGTAAACCAATCCCCAAAATCCTGGAGGCCACCAGACTTTGGAAACGGCTCCCTAGAATTCCATGAACTACCATGCTCATACATGTCAAAGGACCCTTAGTGTTCAGTTGGTTAAGATACCCATTTAAATACCAAGTCCTATGTCATGTCAGGAAATGCAACTTTCAAAACTAGAAAATAAATTATTTGTATAGCTGTGAGTGCATTCCTTATAAAAGTAACCAAAGGCAAACCCTCGTAAAAACTAGTCCCTGTTTACTAAGGGTGCATTGCTTGAGAACTAATGGCTGTAAATGAGACAACAAAGAAGAATGCAATCACATCCTTCAAAAATTTGGTCTGCTTGTCAGTACTAGTGGAGGGGAAATGGGAGATCTCAGAGGTAGGAGGAATCTAGATCACGTAGTACAACTCTCACTCTGCAAATAAGGGCACTGAGGCTCAGAGAGCTCTTCACATATGTGCCCAGTATGCTGGCGTATTCCAAAGACATTAGGCCTTTTTCTCTTAGCATCGGGGAAAGAGCAATTTCTTTTATAAACAGTGATTACACATTTAAAGAAGCCTTCATTGACGTGTGCCATCCAGTCCATTGCAACTCACAGCAACCCTATATGACAGAGTAGAACTGTCTAGTAGGGTTTCCTAGGTTATAATCTTTATGAAAGCCGATTGCCAGGTTTTTTTCTCCCGTAGAGCAGGCTGGTGTGTTCAAGCCGTCAACTTTTCAGTTAGCAGTTGAGCATGTAACCATTGTGCCACCAGGGTTCCTTAATGAAGCCTTTAGATGCATCTGTCTTCCAGTTTACAGAAACAGCATCATAGGAAGTAATTAGATTCAGAATGTGCAACACAGCCATACCCATTCATTTAAGAACTATGTATTGTCTGTAGTTATGTTCTCCAACAGCAGAATTAAGTCATTACAGCAAAGACCATATGTCCCACAAAGCCTAAAATACTTACTACCTGGCCCTTTACTAAAAAAAATTGCTGACTCCTGTTCTAGATTAAAAGAAACAAAAAGACAGTCAAATGCAACATGTGAACCTTGATTGATCCTGGTTCCAAAAATCAAAAGATATTTTGGGGACAGGGAAGTTTTAATATGAACTGGGTATTAAATGATTTCAGGGAATTGTTATTTTTTTTAGATGTGATAATAGTATTGTGGTTATGTAAGAGAATATACTTAGTTTTTGAAGATGAATAATGTCTATAATTTTTAAAATGGCGTGGGAGCGACGTCTGACCTCTGATTTCACGAGGGGGAGAGAGAATCATTAACAGCATCTACAGCCCAAGCCTGATTCCCTCCCACAGTTGGAGGGTGGAGGTCAGATATGCCTCCACCCTCCAACTGTCCCTCCTATGGCACTCTACACTGCTGGGTTTGATAATTCGTTGGAATGGCCACACAGAACTCACAGACCATACTCACAGTTCTTCGATCAGGATAGCCTCTTCTCAGCCATGCTGCAGGCAGGCCTCTCTCTGGCCCTTGGCCCTCCAGGCCAGCCTGACCTCTGCCCTGCTCAGGCAAGTGTTACAGAGCTCTTGTAGTTCTATCAATAAGGGCCCGGAAGCACCCCACTCCACCAGTAAGCCTTGCCCTGAAGGTACTCAGCTCTAGCTCTGTGGGTTGGCAAACCTAGCTCCACTAAGTGCCCAGAGGCACCCTACTCTGCCAGCAAACCTCCTGCCTGAAGGCACTCAGCTTTCTCCCTCGTGAACCAGGAAGCCCACCTCGCCGTCTTCTGCTGGTCTCCTGGTTCTTTTGCCTCTGCTGCCATTGTTTCTCTGCTTCTGCTTCTCACCGTCTTGCCATCTTCGATGTTACAGCTCTCTCTGTCTGTCTCCTGGGTCTAGGAGGATCTCAGTGCAGGAATCCCAGGTCCAAAGTACATGCTTTGCTCCCTTCTTTTTGGTGGTAGTCAGGTCCCCGCTCTGCTCTGGAATTGGCTCTCTTTTAAGCCTAGTAGAATGACAAAACTGACCAATCCCCTCGTTAGGGTTCCATACACCTTATTTGCATGGTCCCATCCCCATAAGGGTTCCATGCACCTTATTTACATTATTAACAAGCTGTCCAATCCCCTTGGTGGGCCACAAGCACCTCATTTGCATAGCCACACTAGTTTATTTGGTGAGACAAGACCATGGTGAGAAAGGCCATATAAAAATGATCCATAGTTCTTTCATACTTGAAGAATAACTTCCCCCTCCCAATCATTTTACCAGTCCAAAACAGTCATTAACAATTAGTCCTTCAGTACGGCAAAGAGTCCTAAGAGTGAGGTTACTTAGGTACCAGCTACTCAGGTTTGCTGCAGGTATCCATCTGATCTGGTCAGGTTCTCCAAAAATTGTCTGGGCTTCACCCTTTCTGGCCTCTGATAAAATTTAACTGAGAGATTATTCCCTTGTTCTGAGCCTCATGAGGTATCAGCACAGCAAAACCTTTAAGGGACTTTAGGTTAGGCTACTGTACTCCAGTCCAGCAGCACCTCCCCCTTAGTCCACTCTTTCACAGTTTTTACAATCACAATTTACCGTGTTAACAATCATTACAACTGAATCATATAATCCTATTAGCATCTTCCCCACCCTCTCATCCCAGACCTATCAGGAAAAGAGGAATCTATTCAGTGGGGATCCTCCCTTGTTCCCCTCATTTTGAGTGTAAGCACACCCATGAAAGTGTATAAGTCAGCCACTTCATGCCTTTATCTCCCTCCATTTTAGATAGCCAATTTCTAAATCACCCGTCCCCATTAAACCAGTACTCTGAGGAGACAAACATG